TCATATATTTTAAGAGACGATGCGAGCCAGCAAAAATCATTTTCTGTTTTGAATTTCTACAAATTTTCCCTCTCTATTTTATTGCTTTAGTAGTATCACTTTGCCCCCCTTGATATCAATCATGCAGGATAAAATCATATTTTTCCAGGCTCGCTCTTACCTCGGGTTTTTCGCTTGATTTTGTCAATCAAACAGCTGAAGTGAAGTCGTTTCGGTTTGGAGGCAAGTGCTACTTGCATCTACTATTCATAAACTTGTACTGTGTTATAATAAGAAACGCCCACTTTCATAAAAAAGCGTCGAAACAGCTTTGCGAAAAGATTTTTTTTATTTTGTCTTCAGAAGCTCCCGCTCCGACTGTTAATGGTTTTTCAATATTATGATTAGATCTTCGTATGAGTTTTCGTGTATATTCGTTGCATTTTACGAAGCTTATCGTTAAAAACAAATTCACTTGTTCGATTTCGAGTAATATGCAAAAATCACATCCATTAAATGTTTGTCAATATCACTCGAAATCGAACAGATGAATTTGTTTTTAATTATTCCAAAACGTAATGCAATAGTTTGAAGTTAATGATGATATCTACCGCTTTTCTGGATCTCATCAATTGTTTTGAGATATTTGGGAAAAACGAATTTCGACAAAATGCAAATTCCGTTGCCTAGGTAACGTTGATAGAGCTAAAGATTATGCCAAACAAAACTTTGGTCAATGCTTTAATACTGGTCCAAACACGAAACAAATCGTTACATAGCAAGATTTTCAAAAAGCGAAATTAAAAGAGAGAGGTATGGTCGAAAAACAACTATAGGAAGCCACCTTAAAATTAAAGAAAAAAAACATTTGATGTACTGTAGTAGGTTGTGTATCGATTTTTCTAATCTTTATTTTGTTTTTCTTATGCATAAGTATAAGTTCAGAAACAATGTTTCGTTTCGTTATGAAGTACTATTGCGGACCGGCTATACATGATTGATTCAGTAAACAGGGGCGTAGGCACCGGTCCGGTTGGTCCGGTTTCAACCGAACCAACTTTTGAAGTTGATAAAGAAAAAAGAAAATCGAATATACGTGTCACTTTATTTCCACGTCATGACTTTGTATTCGGCGCGTCGGAATAAATAGCGCTTCGCGCGTATATTTTTAAACTCCAACTCCAAAATCTTAACCTAAAATTTCGAGTTGTTCGAATGTATATCATTTTGCTCAAACAACTCGAAATTTTAGGTTAAGATTTTTTTGAAACTTCGTCAGTATATCAATTATATTATTTAAAAATGATTCTGAAAATTTTATTACAATCTCTGCAATAAGCTTCGAGAAAATTAACTTTGAAGAAAAATGACGGTGTTTTTATTTTGCATCGTTTATCCAAATGGCTTCGCTTTTTGGCAAATTAATTTATCAACAAGAATTATCGATTATCACTGTTACTTCTGTGAAAATTTGAGTGCAATGGAATCGAAATTTGCGACATAGTTGAAGTTTAAAAATTCGCGCGAAACGCTGTCTATTACGATCGAAACACCTTAATTCGATCTTCGCAAAATTTTTACGCATAAATGTACGTGCGTACTATTGACTGTCGAAAGGAAATATTGAAATTTTCACAGAAATTACTGAAGAAATCACATAAAATTGATCCCTTTTATATGCACTCGAAGTCTCTCAAAACGCTGGAAATCGCATTTACAAGAGTTATTATTTCATAAGTTTTTCGGGGGGATGTCCATACCCCCAGATCCAAAATATGTGCAAAAATACATTCTAAAGAACTAGACAAGAAAATGTACCTTCGCAACATTCAAACTCTGAGGTTTATAGAAACAATACACGATTTGCTTTTTGCCGTTTCTAATACAACCACCAAAATGCTTTGGAAACAGTTCTTTTGTGAGACAAATAGTAGTAGCATTTATATCACGAGATTATGTAAATACGATATCAATAAAATTAATAAATACGCACACCTATTTTCCAAAAACCGAACCAACAGAAAATTGGTGGCTACG